CCCCAAAACCCCAAAACCCCAAAACCCCAAAACCCCGTGGAGAGGATTTGGTGTTGGCAGAAAGTATAAATTGTAATAGAAATGGAGTCCCTTCCTAGTTGTTTTAAGGCCAGTTGTGCGAATGAAGCTGCCTGTTTTGTAGAAACAGAGGATTTTTATGTGTGAGATAAGCACTGAGAAGGAAAATATGGTAAGGATAGGCAGTTTAATAGAACATATGAGCGTCTCACATAATATATTTAGAATATTTGTTTTCTTAACACTGAAAGCTAATATCTTAGTTTTCAGCTTTTTAGCTTCATCAAGCATAATGTAATTAGATAGTTGAATCTTAGGATCTGGTTACTTAAGGAAATGAATTTAGAAACTTGGGTTATCCAATTAGGCATTGCTATACAAACGAAGGATTTAATTGGGCTTATCATAACATCTGAATAGCTGATGCCATTCCGTTGAAATCTGGAGGCTTTGTCAACACCAATATCAATATTCTCAAACAAGCTGTAAATGTGTTCTCAGGCTTTGTAAAAGAGGTTAGAAATGAAGATCTTACGGAAGAAGCAAAGCTTCTTTGTGAAGGGCTCACTCGAGATACAGAAAAAGCCCAATCCAACTTTAATAAAGCCAAAGAGTCAGGATTACACTATGAGTTCTGCAACATCCAAACTAGAGTGGAAGAACTGATGGAGTTCATGGATGAGCAGCCTGTGTTTGTGAAGTTCTTGAGCAGATGGTTCTGGGACTGCATGAAGAAATATATCTCCACAGAGGAGAGCACACACCTAAAGAAGGATGCTCCTAAGAAGCATGCTTCAAAGTCTATAAAAACTAACAAAGAACCTTTAGATAAAGATACAGGGAGATATGAGAATGTTTTTAACCAAGAAGATATGGTCAAGTATGTTGATTATAATGTTAAACGCAAGTGGGAAGAACTTGGAGATTACAAATTCGATGAGCACTCTCAGTTTGATGAGAGTAAACTTGAGGATAGGTCTCTATACACTTGTGAATCTGGAACTAAGTATCTCGGACAGTGGAACATTCAGGAAAATTTGAAGCAAGGCAAAGGCACCCAAGTCTGGACAGACGGCTCCTTGTATCAAGGAAATTGGGAAAATAATGAAACCAATGGACTCGGAAGGATTATATATACCAACGGAGATGTTTATGAAGGAGAATGGCTCAATGGTAAACTCCATGGCAAAGGAATCTATTTAAAATCAGATGGCTCAAAATATGATGGATATTTTTGACAAGATGCATACAACGGATATGGAGTTGAAACTTGGACTGATGGATCGATATATGAAGGAGAGTATCATGATGGCAAAATGGAAGGACAAGGAATGTTTATATGGGAAAATGGCGGAAGATACAAAGGCCAGTTCAAGAACAATAATATACATGGACATGGAAAATATGAATGGTCTGATGGCAGAACATTTGATGGACAATGGGAAAATAATAAAATGCATGGATATGGGACATATGTCTGGAAGGATGGAAAGAAATATGAAGGTCAATATATAAACGATAAGAAAGAAGGAAATGGTACTTTCTTTTGGCCAGATGGTAGAAAATATATAGGACAATGGCACTTAGGCAAACAGCACGGAATAGGCACCTATATAGCATTGAATGGAAATGAAAGAAAGGGAGAGTGGATCAATGGACTAAGAATCAAATGGTTATCATAATAAGACTCTAAATTTGATCATTCAATCATTAAAGCTCTAAAAGGGGTTTTGGGGTTTTGGGGTTTTGGGG